ACCGAGATTGGGATGCTCTTCCCTCGGTGGAGGCATAACGCCGATTTTGGTGTTGGTGTCAACCTCTAGGCCTCCGACTCGTGGCTCCTTCTTGTCCCAGAGCAGGGTCAGGTGCTCGCGCACAGCGAAGAACAGCGGCCTCGGCACGTGCCGCCGCCGCAGGTACTGGCTGAGCTGCCGCCGCCGGTCCTGCACGTGCCGGCTCTCGCTGTTGAGGGTGCTGAGGGCAGGGGGGGCACGTGCGAAGCCTGCCCTTCATCGGGAGAGGAGGAGGAGGAGGAGGAGGAGGAGGAGGAGGAGGAGGAGGAGGAGGAGGAGGAGGAGGAGGAGGAAGAGGGGGGTGTCCAAGAGGGGGGGGTGCAAATCATGCCCGGCGGCATGTGCGCGGCCCAGCGGGGGGGCCAGGGACGTCACGAAGTAAGAAGGGGCGCCATAAAAAATCTGGGGAAACATCATGGCTCACACCATGATATCCCACCCCCCTGGTCATCACCCCCCTCTTTTCCGCCCCCGACTTCAGTCGGGCGTGTCCCTCTACCGGGGGATTTTCGACGAAAAAAATAAAATCCAAAAATGATCAAACAGATGCCTAAAAATGCTCAAAACATAGTCCCCAGACAATCTTTTGGCTAGTCTTGAATATTCCCCCTGTAGAGGGACACGCCCGACTTAACCATGCCCCTGCCCCCCACGATTTCTGAGGGGGTGGGTGGGGTTCGCTTCGCTCGAACGAAATGAACCCCACCCTCCCCCGCAGAATTCGTGGGGGGCAGGGGCAGGGCTCGCATGTGGCCCCCCAGATGAGGTCGGTCAGGGACCCCATCAGGGTCGCGAAGACCTGCGAGGGAGGCCGGCAAGCGAGACTGCGCGGGGGGAGGGGAGCGGAGGTCGCGGGGGGCCCCTCTGGCGGAGGGGGACCCAGCCAGCAGGCTGGAGGGGGCCCAGAGGCACGCAGATAAATTCACAAATCCAGCGAATCCCCATAGATTCCCATGTTTTCAGAGTTCCTGTCTTCCCCCGCACTTCCCACATCTTCCAATTGTCCCGGGAGTCGAATATTGTGTTTGTGAATTTTTCCCTCCTGAAAGATGTACCACAAGAATGCAGAGCCCTTGGACGCCCAACTCGGAATCCAAAAATGAAGCCCATGGCCCATGGCTGCACGTGCTTGAGAGCCAGGACGGGCCGGGAGATATGGACGCACGGCCACCATTGGAAAACTACATTTCAGTATGATGCGGCTTGACACTCCGCAGATCAAGTCGGTGACCCTGCATATCCAACGTTGCGAGAACAGCATGTAGAGCATCATGACCAGAGCCCTAAAAGCCCAATCTTTCTGCGGCATTTTTCGAGCCCGGTCGATCTGTGGTGGTCCTGGGCCCAGAAGCGGGCGATAACGACGAGTGTGAACAAAACTGCAACGCTCAGAATAACATAGCCGCTTGAAGGGAAAAGAACATGCAACACCGCTACCACCTGGGCCCAGGAACACCCGTCGATGATTTTCGATATCGCCTGTGACCGGCCCTCCTCCCTGCCCCCCCCTGGTCACGTCGCGGTTCGCGCAAGCGCTGCCTGGGAACCGACCATTCTTGAACACTTCCAGACGGCGCCCGCGCGAATAGAGACGTGACCGACCCCCCCCCTCACTCCAGTGATCGCCGGACAAAAAAAATACCTCCCAGTGATTGCAGGATCTGCGGGCTGCGGGATGCGTAAGTCCAGGCCGCCCTGCGGAGGCACCCAGGCCGTAAGTCGCGCAGGTCCCTCTACAGGAGGAGTCTTCAAAAATAGTAAAAAGAAAATGGGGACGATTTGTTGATCATTGTTGATCATGGTTGAGCACTCTTGGAGTATATAATTTTGGCGTCTTCAAATCCGCCTGTAGGAGGACGTGCCCGACCTAACCCGAGCCCGAAGTGCGGGCGAACGGCTCGAGCGACCAGGCTGGGGCCCGCTTCCAATCCCGACGGGACATGGGAACCTCTACGTCCTCCTCCTCCTCCTCCCTCCGTCCCTTCCCCTCCTCCCTTCCCCCACCCATCCCAAGCTCGCTCCTCCACTTCCGTCACCTTCTCCGCCTGATCTGCTCCTCCAGGGGGACCGAAAGATACCGAGACCACTGCTCGGAGTGCGTTCTGACCAGAACTTCGTGGAGAATCCGACCGTGGCGACGAGGGCCTCCCATGATGCACAAAAATGTGAAACCGACGGGGGAGTAACGTTATCGGTACATTCCCACCTCCACCGCCTCCCCTCGTCGTGCTCCCACTCCTCCTACCACTCCCCCTTGTCCTCCCTGCTCCAAGCTGCTCCTCCTCCATAAGGGCATAAGAACGAGGAGGAAGAAAAGGAGGAGTAGGAAGAGGAGCAACAACAATAAAGGTCTGAATAATGATAACAAGACTCCAAAAAGCAACCTAACAATACTAGCAAGACAGAGGGTACAAACCACAGTAAATACGAAACAACTTTAGAAACGAAGCACATATATACTAATCACGGTACCAACAAGACTGGAACACATGGTACTAGGAAAAACAAACATAAAATACATGGTCATACGATGGGAAGAAACGGTAACACGATTACGAATAATCATAGTAAGACGAATAACGATAACATATAATGCTGATGTGCGGACAGGGAATACTATGGAAGAAACGCTGACATCAAAGAGGCGTCTGCGACCAGACACCTGTCGGCAAATACGGAGGGCCGCAAACCTGCAGCTGTGGGAGCTCACGAGAACACACATCAGGAGACGAGACCACGGGCTTTGCCGAGGTCGTGGATGAGGCCCAGGACGCGCACGATCGGCTCCCAGCCCTCCCCCAAGCCGTCGGCGCGCGAACGCGCCATACCAACCACGGCGGGCGCGAGCAGGTCGCCGAGCGTCGTGCCCCCACCGCGTGGAACTCTTGCTGACATTCAAACCGAATGTGCACGGCACTGATGCGAGAGCCACGTGTTGAAAACCGCCCGCCATCAATGCATGGAACCCTTTCAAATGTGTGGGACGAGTGTGCGCGAAGGGAAAACATGAGAAGGGTTTCCCTACAGGGGAGCCAGGGGAGCATACGTTTAGTATATTGTTCTAGAGCTCAGACCTATTTCTGTTCGTGGTTCGTGTTTCGTTCTCCTCCCCAGGAACGTCCTCTTCCCCTGGCCTCCTCCCCTGGCTTCCTGGCTCCCCTGGCTCCCCTGGAAATTCATGGTGCTGAAACGAGAACTGCATTTTGGAAACGACCTGCCATCCATCCACGAAGCTTTTGCAAACTTGTAGGACGAGTGTGCGCGGCACTACAGTGGGGGCGTTGACCGAAGGAACTCCAAATAAGGAACGAGGCCCCTTTCTCCCATAAGTTGAACTTCGATTTCCCATGGAAAACCTCAGGAAAACCGAAGGCAAACTGCAGAACAATCAAGGAACACCGAGCCCCTCCCCAACGAATAAAAATCCTTCTTCAGAGCCCCGACTGTAAAGCGAGAACCACTTTTGAAAACAACCCGCTCTCGATCCGTGAAACTCTTGCACAGTGTGGGCTTATGCGTCGAAAGCGGTGAGGCAGTCTCAGGCGAAATGCCCAGCCTCGAGGCGACTCGGGGTGCGACAGGGAGGTGCAAGGACCAGAGATGGAAGAGGAGGGGGAGAGAGAGGAAGGAGAGGAGGAGGATGAGGAGAAAGAGGAGGAGAAGGAGGCGGAGGAGGAGCACAAGCACCTCCTCGGTTTCCTGCTGCTCCTGCTGCTCCTGCTTCTCCTGTTGCTCCTCCTCCTCCTCCTCGTCCTCCTCCTCCTCCTCCTCCTCCTCCTCCTCCTCCTCCTCCTCCTCCTCCTCATGGCGTTCCCAAACTACCACGGTCGCCACCAGAAGGAGCAGGAGCACGAAGCGCACCTCCGAGAAGCTCTGCGGGACGATATCACCGTAGCCCACCTCCAGTGCAGGAGCGGTCAGCGTCGAATAGGGAGCACGAGGAGGAGGAGGATGAGAAAGAGAGGGGACAAGCAGGGGAGAGGAGGAGGAGAAAGCCGCCTCCCTCATCAATCTCTGCATCCTCCCTCCTCCTCGCAACAGTTTCAAAGAAAGGCAGGGTTGAAGTCTCAGGAACGGCGTTCTAGCACGATTGTGGATTTTCAGGTCGCAGCAATGACGTTGGCTCACGTTGTCGGTATCAACGGAATGCTCTTCTGGCAAGAGACAAGAAAGTCTGGACGAAACAGTCACGTTGATTCGCGGCGGTAAAATCCTAAGCATGGTGTTTGGGGTTGTCTTTCCATGGGTTCTTCCAGCAATGAACATATTTATGAAGCGGGAGCGTCGAGGGAAGGTGTCTTGCAGCATCGTTGATGCGTCTTGGATTTATCATGGTCCTCCTTCCTCCTCCTCCCCCCCCTCCTCCTCCTCCTCCTCCTCCTCCTCCTCCTCCTCCTCCTCCTCCTCATTCTCATCATCATCATCATCATCATCATCATCATCATCATCATCAGCAGCAGCAGCAGCATCATCCTCCTCATCATCACCATCACCATCACCATCATCATCATCATCACCATCACCATCACCATCACCATCACCATCACCATCATCATCATCATCATCATCACCATCATCATCATCACTGGAATCATCACCAACAGCAGCATCATCATAACTCGTGCTCCTCCGAGGATGAGGCGTGATGATGAAGAGAAGGGTGCTGGTGAGGATGAGGGGGGAGGAGGGTATCAGGGGGAGATTGGGGCTCGGGTCAGAAGTGTGCGCCGAGCCGCGCCGCAGCGGCACGGTGTCGGGACCGCAGTCGGGCGGCCGCGCTGGGGTGCGACAGCTGCGCCGTGCGGGCATCGGGCCGCATCCATCTCGGCTACACGCAAGAGTGACCCTGGGTAAGAGCAACCCTTGGTGCGCGGCTCTTTGTGGGGCCGCGGGGAGGCCAAACCTGGGCGCGCAAGCCGCTGCTACCGCTTCGTTTTCGGCCATCTGAGGGCCCACCTGTTCCCGCACCCAAGGTCACCCCCGCGAAAGGTCACTCTTACGCCCAGTCGACCATCCTCGGAGCAGCGGCAGCGGACTGCACCGGGCCGGCCGCGACCGACGTCGAGCCGGGGCGATCGGATCCCCGCGGGCCCGCGCCCAAGTGGGGCGGGGCGCGCCCGCGCCTCCCGCGTCGCCCCCCTGGAGGCGCTCGGCAGCAGCTGTGGCGGTGGAGCAGCGCGCGAAGTCGGTGTCTTGTTGCGTCGGTGGCTAGGAAGAGGAGGGCGACTGCGCTGGCGATCCGAAGCAGAAGCGGGGGCTCCCTTGGCGCGAATTGCGCCACCATGCCACGGGAAACAAGGACGGGGCGGGCAGCTCAGAGGTCAGAACGCTCCCCGAGCGCGTGCTGGCGCGGCCGGCACAAGACAAGCGAAACACCTCCCAAAGCGAGTCGGGCGAGTCCCGACCCAGAGCGGCAGTCGACCTGGGATCCCTTCCCATCCGTAGGGCCCCAAACCTCGGGCGTCAATAGATGAACCGCCGGGGGGAGGAGGAGGAGTGGAGGAGGAGGGAGGAGGAGGAGGAGGAGGGAGGAGGAGGAGGGAGGAGGGAGGAGGGAGGGGAGGAGGGAGGAAGGAGGGAGGAGGAGGAGGGAGGAGGGAGGAGAGGAGGGAGGAGGGAGGAGGGGAGAGGAGGAGGAGGAGGGGGAGGGAGGGAGGAGGGAGGAGGGAGGAGGGAGGAGGAGGAGGAGGAGGAGGAGAGGAGGAGGAGGAGGAGGAGGAGGAGGAGGAGGAGGAGGAGGAGGAGGAGGAGGAGGGAGGAGGGGGAGCAGGAGGGAGCAGGAGAGAGGATGAGGAGGAGGAGGAGGAGGAGGAGGAGGAGGAGGAGGAGGAGGAGGAGGACGAGGAGGCGCAGGCGGCCCTTACGGCTGGGTGTTGGTGGAAGCGCCCCCGGCCCAGGGTGCCCCCGAGAGGTCCCAAGGAGGCCCCCGCGGCCTCCAGGGCACCCCCCTCGAGGCCCAGGGGGCCCCGTGGGCTCCAGAGCAGAGCGGGCAGCCGGGGGCAGCGTGGGCCAGGGGCACCTCTTCAGCAGCCCCCGACGAGAGGCTGGCGCGTCGGTCGGAAGACGTACAGGGTAGTTGTTTTAATACATCGCATGTTTTCAATATATGATTTTTTTATACATGATTGAATTATGAATCAATGTATGCATGAACGCATCGTTGTTTTTTGATACTACATCCCTGCATTTTAATACATGATCCGCACGCGGAGCATGTATAAAAAACGGCACTGTAGGCATAATCAAGAAGTAGAAAGGCGGAGGAGGTGGAGCAGGTTCAGGCCCTCTTCGAAAAGAACAGCACGCAGCAAAAGCATACCCCTTCTTGAAGTAGGAGGGCGCTTGGAGCAGACTGGGATCTGGGAATCCACAAATACAGAAGGGGCCCGACCACAAGGAACCTTCCACAAGAAACCCAACCCTGAGACCCCAGGACGTCCATGGATTTTTGGTGTGGGAATCTCACGCTTTCCATCGCAAAAAACATCGAGACCCAAAAGGCCCCGGGCACCCTGGAGGCAATCAGGGTGTCTCTTGGCATGGGCCTCCACCGTAGACCAGGGCGTGGATGTCCAAAAATACCCACTATCAACGACCGGCGTGCAGCCTCCTTATGGAAGCGGACCCCCCCCTGGGACCCCTGAGGGGCAACGACAGGGGGGGACTGGGCATAGGGGGGGACGCATCGACCTGGAATCGGCGATGCACCGTCGACAGATCGGCGAGAGGCCCCCGATAGCGAACCCACCCCGTCCTGGGCGGGTTGGGGCTAGAGAGCCGCTATCGGCGATCACAGGGGAACGAAAATGACTTAAACATACAAGCTCAGAGGTCCCCGGACGCGCTGCCAGGGGGGCCCAGCGCCGATCCGAGAAATCCGCGCGGACCTCCGCGAGCTTTTGTGACTGTCATCACCAGTCCCCCAACAGATCCCAGATCCATGGGCGATCGGGGGTCGACGCATCCCCCCCCCTGGTGCCCGCCCCCCCCCCCCGATCGTTGCCCCCGGGATTCCTCCCGAGGCACCCGCAGGGGGGGCGACCGCCCCCTTGCGGGTGCCTCCCAGATCTGTCCTGCATCCTGCTCTGCCTTCTCCCACTACTCTTCACCCGCCCTCACTTCTCGGGCGTTGGCAGGACTGGGTCTAGTGGGACCTGGTTTGGTGATGTGTACCGGGGGACGCGAGGCCCTTTCTTTTGTTTTCCCTCCTCTGTTTTCCTCCAGTGGGCTGTTCGGCCAACCACAGCATTGCCGGACACATCTGCGCTGAGCGAGGAGCTGCCGGTGAATTTAAGTGCCATCGCGGAGGGCGAAGTCTCTCGGGCTGCAAAGAGATTGAAAAACGGTCGCGCTGGCGGCCTCGATGATCTGCCGCCCGAGTTCTGGAAAGCCGCTGCAGAGGACGGAGTGCCTGCGCTCGCTTGGGTTACCAGATTCTGCAATATGGCGTGGACGCAGGGTCGCGCCCCTGACGCCTGGCACAAGGCGCGCGTCTGCATGATCTACAAAAAGGGCGACCCGGCATCGTGCGATAACTACAGACTGATACGCTTGCTCCCCATTGGGTACAAGGTATTCCCGATGATCATGCTGCAGAGGCTGAAGGACGCTGGGGCCGAAGACCGCATCTGGCCAACTCAATTTGGGTTTCGGTCTCACAGAGGCACCGCCGATGCGATCTTCGTGGCCAGACGAGTCATAGAGGACGCATGGGCAACCAAGCACGGCAGCACTTTGCTTTTGGCTTTAGACTGGGCGAAGGCATTCGACTCTGTGGCGCCGGACGCCTTATCAACCTCGCTCAAAAGATTTGGGTGCCCAGACAAATTCGTCGACATGGTCAAGTCAATTTACAGTGCCAGGACGTTTGTGGTGTCGGATTTCGGTGCATCATCCGCTGAACGGGATCAGTGTTATGGCATTTGCCAAGGGTGCCCCTTGTCTCCTTTTCTGTTCACCATTGTGATGACGACTTTGTTGGCAGACGCACACAAGGAACTCCGTTCTCGTTTGCCAGATCTTCCCGATGCGCACTTCGTCCGGGAATTAATCTACGCCGACGATACTCTGCTCCTCGATGCTGATCCCGTCGTAGTGGGCGAGCTGATGGCCTGCGTCGAAAATTACGGCAAGCATTACGGGTTGAGCCTGAACTGGAGGAAAGTGGAGCTGATGAAGGTCCGTTCTAACGCGCACCTGCAGAACAGCGCGGGAGTTCAAGTGCAAGAGAAGGAAGCTCTGACTTACCTCGGCACCCAGCTCGCGGCGGATGGACGATGTGGATCTGAGCTGAACAGGAGAATCGGCATGGCCAAACAAGATTTCAAAGCATTGAAATCGGTGTGGTATCATTCTTCGTTGAGCAGAGCGAGAAAAGTAGCAATCTTCAACGCGTGCATTGTCGCCAAGCTTGTGTACTGTCTATTTGCAGCATGTCCTAATCAGGCAGAACGTAGAAGAATTGACGGCTTCCAGGCACGCTGCTTGAGATCTATATTTCGGGTCCCACCTTCTTATATCAGTCGCGTGTCGAACAGCGCCGTGCTAGTCATGGCCAGTGAACGGCCGCGCAGCGAGCTCATCGTCAAACGACAGATGACTTTCTTTGGGCAGCTCGCTAGACGCGCGGGCAACGATCCAGTGAGACAGTCGATATTTGAACCAGGCGGTCTAAATCTCAAGCAGCCGACAGGTCCTCGGAAGAGAGGGCGACCCCGGCAAACGTGGGGAAGAATAGTCATGAACAGTTGTTTGGACGTTGCTGGCACCCCTGCCCGTCTTGCTGACTACTTCCGCCCGGAGGGCGGTGCAGCGCCGGCATGGGAGTCAGCTGTCCGCGCATGGCACCTTTGATCTCTGTGTTGTAGCATACTCCCTTGCTTGCGCACCGTCTGGTGCAAGGCGACCTGACTGACTGACTGTTAATTAAAGCTGTGCGCGGCCCGCCTAGCTTCGACCGGAAGAGGCTCGCTCTCGACCCGCGGATCAAAAGTGTACCGGGGGACGCCCCCGCCCCGCCCCATTCCACTAACCGGAACTGCCGCCGCCCGGAGAACACCAGCTGCGGCAGACCTGGTTTAGGGATTCCAGTCCATCTTTGGGCTCCGGGGCCCCATCACCAACCAGCTCCCCTTAACCGGGGTCCTGGCTGTCCCCGCATTTCAGCCTGCCAATCATACCACACACCTCCCCAAGACAGGCCTCTATCCTTATGTTGGGCGTGTCCCCCTACAGGGGGGCAGGCCCGACCTAACTCTGTCCATCTCGTGTGACCCCTCCGCCACCTCCGCCCCTTGCAGCAGGGGCAGCCCCTCCTCGGGCACCGCCCGCTCGCGGCGGTGTGCGGATGGGGGGGGGTGCTGCGGCCGGCTCGCTGGGGGGGCGCACGGGGTGCCCCCGGCGGGGGGGCCTCCGGCGGCCGCCCCCGCGGGGCCCCGAAGCCGGCAGGAGGACGGCCCGCCACCGGCAGCCGAGTCGCGCGGGAAGCGGACGCGGCAGACCTCGGCAGAGCGGGGGGCCTCCGTTGAACAGAGTCGGAGCCCGAGGCGGGGCCCGAAGTCGGGCCGAGCCGGGATCGTCATCCAGCGGAATCGAAGCGAATGGAATCGGAGGAATGGAACAGAGCCCTGCAGGGGGCGGTGGACGTGGGCAGATCCTGGCCCCCGCGGGGGGTGGGGGGGCCGAAGGTGTCCATCCGCACCTGCCGTCTGCCGAAGTCCCTGCAGATCGATCCCCCGGGCGGTGGTCAGGGAGGATGCGTTCACGCCTCGGACGGGGCGCGCGCGGACGCCGCGCGGGAGTTTTCATAACAAAGGCAATACGCACCACTAGTGAGGCAGAGGGTCGGCATCGGCACCGACATATCCCTTCCTGCTGAAACGCTATCGCATTGAAGCGCTAGTTGAAGGGCAACAATAGAGGGGACTGGCATAGCGCGGGATGCATCAGCCTGGAATCGGCGATACATCGCCCACTGATCGGCAATAGGCCTCCGATAGCGAATCCGCACCGTGATGGGCAGGTTCGGGTCATCGGGCCCCTACCGGCGATCAGTGGGCGATTGGGGGTCGATGCGTCCCTCCCTGCGCCCATCCGCCCCTAATCTGAAGTCGGGCGTGTCCCGCTACAAGGGGATTTTAGACGAAAAATTAAAAACACACCGAAAATAATCAACAAATGCCTAAAAATACTC